TTTACAGCTGCAATAGCACCTCCTCGTGCTCATGCACAGACAACGGGGGCAGGTCATGACCCAATTCACTGGACATCCAGCCACATCAGGACCACTGGGGAAGACTGACCTCCCCAGAGGAGGGGCAGTGCAGACTGCAGCTCTGAATGGATCCACATGGCAAGTTTCTCTGGTCAAGCAAGGACCCTGTGGAATAACCTGCGTGCTGCGTCAAGAACTCTTCCAACTAGGTGGTGCCGTGGGCACCCAAGGGCTGCTCTGAGGGTCCTTGTTTCCCATCGGGCCTGTGGGAGAAATATAAGTGACGGTGGCTCCCTCTAGTGGAGCTGTCAGAAATGGAAGGTGGTTCTGAATCTTACATGGAGGAGGCCCCTGCTGGAAGATACGGAGCTGATGAGTGTGGCCCAAAGGTTCTCACACATGTCATCTCAAGTAGTATGTACAGAGTTTGGAGGAAGGCGTTTGTCTTGTTTTGTCTCTATCACCTCCAGCACAGGAGGCTGCGGCTGTGGAGACAAGCACTCTGATGTCTGGCTGCAGGCCTCACTGTCACACTGTGGACAAACCCCTCTCTCTTCTCTGGGGCTTGTTTCCTTCCATATGTTGGGGGTGGGGATAGGGGGTGTGCAGGTCAACCGTCTCCAAGATGCTCTCAAATGAGCTCACCGTCTCACAGTCGATTGCTCATCCAGGAGCAAGCCACAGCATTGCTCATAACCTCCCACGCTTGGAGGGAGCCTGACAGTCACCACGCACTTTCCCGAACATCACTGCACCTTGCTCTCACCATGACCACGTGACGCTCCTTGTCCTGACCTCTCCCATTCCACCCCAACCACCAGGTGGGCTTTGTGACCTGAGACTGAGCTGAGAGATGGAAGGATCCTCTTCTGTGGCCCACAGAGCCAAAGATGCCAGGCCAAGATTCCAATCGGGGCTGTTGGCTTCAGTGTGGAGCCCCGTGAAAATGAGGCGGAGGAATTCCACTCTGTGTTAGCAGGAGAAGAATGTCTATGACCCACCCCATAAGAGTTATGATAATAGTAACAGTGGTTAGCACTTAAACATGCTCGCTACCGGCCAGGCCCAGTTCAACACACTCTGCTTATATATTAACTCTTGTAATCATCACGACAACCTGTGTCACAGGTAATCCATAAACTGGCCATCTTGCACAGATACCAAGATAATTTTAATGAGCCAAAGTCACTTGGCTATTATAACTGCTTGCCACCAAGTGTAGATGCGATGTAAGAACTGAATCAACATGGATTTCCCCAGGCCAAAGGAGAGGGTTTCATTCTCCATGATCGTGTACCTGGAAGTCAGTCTACCCTCGGATACCCAGGTTGTGATATTGTGATTAATAATAAGGAATATATATTTAGTCTTCATCCTGTTTCTGACACAGAGCTCCTAAAAGTTTGGAATTTCCTAAGTGATGAGAGTGATAAATGTGTCTTTTGTTATGTTATTGAGGTGACATTTGCACTGCACCTAACGATGGGGCTGGTTGCCAGGAGAACCCAGCGAGTGATTAGAGGATTGGAGCTTGCAGTGCCACCCCCGACCTCTGGGGAGGGGAGAGTGGACTGGAGGTTGAATCAGCCGCCAATGGCCAGTGATTTCATCAGCCACGCCTCTGGAATGAAGCCTCCATAAAACTCCAAAAGGATGGGGTTTGGAGAGTTTCCAGGTTGGCGAACACGTGGAGATTTGGGGAGACTGGTGTGACCTTTAACCCGAGGGACCTGAGGCTATCCCCAGGTAGATAGTGTCAGAATTGAGTTGAATTGTAGGACGCCTTGCTTGCTTGGTGATGTGGGAAAAACCCACATACATCGTAATGGGAATCAGAATCCCACACCTGATGGAGATAAAGCTCAGAATTACCAAGTGGGAAGAGACGTTAGAGATCATTGGTCCAATTCTCCATGTCCCGGATGAAATGGACGACTAGCGAGTACAGAGGTGAAGCGTCTTGACGTGCGGCACATAGTGAGTCTAGCGGCAGGGCCGGGGCTGGCCCCCAGGTCTCCAGACTCTCAGCCCAAAACTCTTCCCACTCTACCACATCATGGCTGCCACACACCTGGGCCAATAGACAGCACTGAGATCTCTCTCCCGTTCCATGGCCCAGGGAGCTCCCCAGTCATCAGCCAGCCAAACCGAGCTCAGGAAGCAGAATCCTCCTAACACCAGCCTGAGGCACCCGAGGGTGGCCCGGCAAATAGGTCCTCTGCTGCGTCACCTACAAACAAAGACAACAGTCACCCCTGGAATGGTGCCTTCCACAGCTAGACAGATGGCAGAGAGCAGGGACAGTCTGAGGGCAGCCTGTGACATCGGGCCTCCTGCTGTCCTTTATCCATCCACTCTGGCCAAGGCCTCCATGGTCCCTCCCTAGGAGCCATGACAGATGCATTCTCCACCTCCGCCTGGTTTTTCTTCTTCTCCCAGACTGGTCTGGGGTTCTGCTGCTGGTGCACTCCATGAACCCCACCTTTGCCCTCCCCATTGTCCCTGTCTTGGGGTATTTTGGTCTTCTGCTTCCCATTTCGGTTTGGTTTCCACTGGGATGTGACTATACCTCCCCTGTCATTTCCAGCTGTAGTCAGTTTCAATCATGTTCCCAACTTTCCCAGGAACAGGCTGAGTGGAAAGAGAATCTTCCAGAAGATCTCTTTTTACTGCTCTGTGACTCGGACAGCAGTCTCCTGGTCGGAGGGTGCTGGAGAGTTCCCCGGGCACTTTGCTGTTGGTGCTCTGTCACTTGGCTGGCAAGCAGGCTTCTCTGCTCTAGTTTGAGCGGGGAGGGTGAGGAACTTGCAGAGGCTGGTGGATAGAATCAGGGGGTGGATGCGTGGAGGGGAGGAGAGTGAGAGACTGAGAATGAATCATGGAAACTCAGACACAGTCCCTCCTAGACTGGGGGTCAGGACGACAGCCCGGGCAGAGGCGACCACAGCTGTCGCCCTCCCACTGGCTTTGGCCAGAGAAGGACGTGGGGCCGGGAGGAAGGGTCTCACTCCTCTGGGCCTGCTGAGTTGGAGGAGGAGCTGGGCGGCACAGCCGGCTTAGCTGGGTGAGGGGTGTCCCACAGGCCAGCCTCTGGGCTGGGGGTACCAGGCCTCCAGCAGCCACCAGAAAGGGTAGCCTCAGACCCACAGCCTGGAAGTTTCCCTTGCCTTCACTCTTCCTTTCACACGCCACTCCAGTTTCTCCTGTTGGCTCTCCCTTTAAAATTATCCAGAATCTGTCCACTTCTCCCCACTCCTGCTGTTGACAGCCTGACCCAACCATCATCTGCTGTCACCTAGGTTATTCAAACAACCTCCTAACTGGTAATCCTGTTAAAATTTAAGACCACTCGTATCATTTCTCTGCTCAGAACCATGGAGGAACGGCTTCCCCTCCAACTCCGAGCACAAGCAGCAAAGTCTTTTCAGACCCTGACTGGTTAGCCCCGCCTTCTGCCACCCAGCTGGTCTCCGGCCTCATCTCCTGCTCCTCTCCTGCTTGTTCAATCACCCTCCAGCCACCCTGCTCCTTCTTGTTCCTGGAACGTGCCTGCGGTGCACCCACCTCAGGGCACTCATACTTGCTGTTCCCTCTGCCTGGAAGCTTTCCCTCCAGGTGCCTCCCTGGATCCCTCCTGACCTCTGTCCTTTACTCAGACATCACCTTCAAGGTCAGGCTTTCCCTGTCTCCCCACTTTAAGCTGATCTCCACACCCCGCTGCTGTATTTCATAGCCCCCTTTCTTGATTTCCTCTTGTATTTATACTCATCTAGCAAGCAACATATTTTAGTTATTTATAGTACCGATCGCCTGTCTCCCTGACCAGCACCTAACCTTCACAGGGCATGGGTTCTCGCTGGTTTATTCACTGGCCTGGCGCACAGTAGGCACTCAGTGAACACTTGTTGCATGAAAGAACAAACGAATGATAGACACAGCTTGGGAAACAGACCTTCACAGGGGATGTCAGAGTTACGGGATTTCTCAAGTAAGAAGAGAAGCTTGGGAGAGAAAAGGGTGCATGTGTGTGCACGTGTGTATGTGCACGTGTATGTGTGTGTGTGTGTTGCAGGGATCCTTGACAACCACCTTCACTTGGTGTGAACAATGTGTGAGTCCTTGCTGATTTGCTCTAAGTGTTCTAACTGCGTGTATTAACCAGAGCCAACCCTCCTTCCTCCATGTCCTCACTCACTCGCTCACCAGACGTTTTATGAGTGAAGTTCTGTCAGGTACTCTGCTGGACACAGGTGGGCACGTGGCTAAGAATATGGTCCCTGCTGCTGAGACTTCTGCAGTGTGGCAGCGAAGCCCAGGCACTCAGAACATTTCTGGGAGGGTCTGGGCATGAAAGCAGATTGTAACCCCAGCAACATCTCATTAGGAAAGTAAATTCTGGACAAGAAAATCAGCCTGATGTGCTTTGCCACCAAGAGGAAAAGATACTTGGATGAGAGCGGCTTCTAGTGGGAGCTGGCCCCTGCAGAACACCTGGAAGGATGCTAGAGGGAGGGAAGCGGTGAGAAGGAGGGGCTCCCCTCCGCAGAAGTGCCCTTGCTCTCCTCCCCCTGAGGACAGGCCAGGAGCCAAGAGCTGTCAACAACAAGAAGAGCCATGTGGGTTACACACAAGAAAGAAGCACTTCCCTCTCCCGGCAGGCCCACACACAGCATCACCCGGGCCCTGGGTGGGCCTTGGGAAATGCCGCTCTGACCTTCACATTTGCCCACAGGCGTGTATATGTAAGAGGCAGACAACTCCTAGACCGTGGGTTACACATCTTGCTTCTTGGAGAACGTCCCCTGTCCAGGGTGCGGTCACTGCAGAGGGTAATCAAGCGCTTTTTCTGATGATCCGTGGGTGGCGCCTGGGAAGCGATTGGTGCTCTGGCATCCTGGATGAGCCTGCTTTTGTCACAACTACTTGACTTGTCTGCTTAACTTAGCTGTTGATGCTTTCACACAGTGAAACACACAGCCTCTGAGACTTTCCATATGTTTATTCGTTAGTCTTCCACAACAATCCTTTTCCTGGATGGGTCTGTAGCACAGCCATGCACTTTCTAGCATCCCTTGACCCCTGACCTCCCAGACCTGCTCTCTTTTGCCCACATTACCAGTTTTCCCTTTCCCCCTACAGCCTCACCCCAACATCCTGGGCCCTATCTTTAACGCCGGTGGGTCAGATCTCAGCTTTTTCTAGCCTGGTCACTGCTTCTGGGAGGTCACCGCAGGGGTGTCAGGCCCAAGGAGGGGTCTCATTCGTCTTCTGGAGAAGCTGAGGGTCCGGGCCCTCTCTGTCCAGCCGCTATCAGAAATGTATGTGTAGGTCTCCTTGCTTGGACCTCTGTGCCAGCCTTTCCCTGCCAGGAGGGAATCAGAACAAAAGGAAGTGTAGTTAGTGATACGAGGGTGAGCTGCGCGAGGAATGGACCAAGAAACAGGAATGCCCTCTGGCTTCTGCGCCCAGCTCCTCTGGCATTTGCCTAGTGGTCCCCACCCAGCCTCCACTTCTGGGCTGTCTGGTTTGCTCAAGCCAAACCTGCATGACACAGGCCCTACATGGGCCCCTCAAACGCGTCAGCCTCTGTCAAGCACAAGCAACCTGAAGCCACTCCTGCAGAGGTTGTCTTTATATACTGCCTTAATTCTCTATCTTTGGTGGCCCATTAGTCCCCCAAGAATCAAGTCCAAGCAATTTACTCAACCTCCAGGCCCCTCGTACAGTCTACACAGCTGGGCTCACTGCCCTGTCACACCCGGCACTGTCCACCGTGGTCCCAGAGGCCCGTCTCGGACCCTCAGCACACGCCAGGCATATCCTCCCTCCGGGAAAGAGCTCCTGCCACGGCCGGTCTCCTTCCTTATGCACCTCCAGAATGTTCTTGTTCTCCCTCCCACATTCCTCGTTCCCACCATCCTCCAGGCCCAGCCCAGCCCCACACCTGCACAGGCCTCTCTGGCCATCGCACCATGACTGATCTCTCTCCTGATTTCCTGCTCCTTTACAGTGTGTCCCACGAGATACTATACATAATTTTTTTCTACTGGAAAGTATGTGAGATTTGGGGCCCAAAGTCCAGTGTTCAACGTCTGCTCTCCTATGCCCTGAGCAAAGAAAGTCAGGCCCCTGAGCCATCCCCGTGTGCTGCGTGTCTGTCGCTACCAAAAACCCCTCCAAGAGCAGGCCGGGGTTGGGCTGAAAATAAACAAAGCCAGTCACTGCCTGCAATTCTGTCTCCACGAATGTGAAACAGGGATGAGCATGATGAGGTGTGTTCCAGGCTTCCTAGGGCTGCCACGAGGACCAGATGTTTGTGAAGCTGCTTTGGAAAAGGTAAAGACTTACAGAAACACCAGTAGATATCATTGTGCCTCTGCAGTAAGCTCCTGTGTAACAAAAAAATTTAATATGGGTAATTTCAATTATTTGGGAGCAAGCCCCAGGGTCCATAACGTGGAGTAGCTTGTATTTTACTAAGACCCAAAAGCATACGGAAAGCCTGGAGTCCCAGCACCAGCGTTTGCCTCGCAGCCAGGTGTCACTGACCATCTAGCTTCAGGCTCACAGGACATCACACAAGGGCTTTCCATGGCCTTCGTCCATTTGCAATAACTTCTGCAAAGTACTGAAAAACGAAGTGAAACAAAACAAAAACCTTTGTTTCCCTGTGAAATCCCAACGGTCATCAAGTGAAAGATGATACTTTAGCAAAGGGTCAAAGTGGAGTTCTTGTTGTTTCAAAGAGCAGGGAGCAGAAAACTGATTGCTCTCCTCACACACTCATGACTGGGGAGGACCCCGTCCAAGCACTGCCGCATCCAAATATGGGCCGTGTCAGGCGTCTGGACACAACTCCCAAAGGCCAAGGTCTGCATGAGGCTCAGTGCTCAGCATACGAATGCAACCACACCCCGTGCGCTCTATCCCAGGGCCGCCCACACATCCCACCCACAGCTCCTCCATGTTCTCAGGGAATTCATGATGCTTTTCACGTCAGCCCAAAGAAACAGCATGAGGGAAGCCCATCTGACCTAGAGTTAAAAGTGGCAGATTAAAAACATGGGTTTTTTTTTTTTTTTGGTTTTTTGCTCCCTCCTGAAACCCTGCTCAAGTAACAGTAAGGGAAATTTTTAAAGGGGGCAAGGGAGATAAAGTTACAAAGACAAAAACATCACACTAGTGGATGAAATAGAACTAAAAGCCAATTTGTAGATGACAGAACACCATCGGGGGCACAACATCTGCTTAGAAGAGGGGAAGATTTGAAACCTGAGTGCCTGCAGACGAGGGGCCAAGGGGATATGATGATTTACCCCCAGGGAACCCATGGAGCTCAGGAACTGGAGGCACCGGGTACCACAGAAGCAGGGTCTAGGGGGGCTAAAAAGTGGTGGCAGTTAGATATACCTTCCAGGTCTCCTTCCCAATCCCATAAAGCCAAACACCCAGCCATCTGCCATCCCAGCAAAAGAGGGGAACTTTAAGAATAAGCTTGACAGACAGGGCTGGACTCAAGGTCATGGAGCATTGTGTACGGCAGGGATGTGGCACCGTACTGAAAATAGGGGGTTATTCGTAATGACGGAGTGACTGCATCCTGAACAGCAAGGTCTGCCACCTCCCCTGCTCTGCTCCTCGAACACAATCAGGCAGGCAATTGAATTCTTCCTTGGAGAAACCAAAGGCTTCCAAGCGAAAATGCCTAGAGACACTGACATCTAGAGGTCCCCAGCCAGATGGCCTGGTCTCGCCTCATCGCCCTGTGGTGAACTCTCCACTCGTTAAGCCCCACAGACCAGAGCTTCCAGGCAGCCTTTTGGCTCTTCACTCTTGAAAATGAACTGCTATCCTCAAACCACAAACATCTGGGAAAGGCTCCAACAGGTCAAAACAGACGGAAGACAGAAACTCAGAGGAAACAAAATGCCAGAGACGGGGAAAAAATCTTCAAAAATATTAAAAATCCTTGGTTGAATCAGATGGAAAACTTTATCCATGAAACAAGAACAGGCTGCTATAAAAAAGCAACCATCCAAGGAGAAGAAAAGAATTTTTGGAAATTAAAAGTATGATAGCCAAAACGAAACTTAAACAGAAGTTCTAGAAGATACAGTTGAGGAAATGTCCCAGAAAGTAGAACAAAGTATAATGAAAAAGAGTAAAGGTAAATGTGATATTGTGAATTACAATAAGAAATAGATATTTGATCTTCCTCCATGGGTCCTGGCTAACAGCTCCCAAATCCCAAGTCGTTTCCTGAGCATTAGAGCAACAGGGGCATGTTTTGTTATAATATTTGGTTTCTGTCCTAAGTTCCTAAAGTGGCTTCAGAGCCATAAAGGGGAAACGAGTGCCTTTTGTTACTCATAACAAGCCCCTTTCAATCACACCTAGGTTTATGTTAACGAGGTGACTTTTGGAAAGCCCCTAAGAATGGGGCCTAGTTACCAGGGTAACAAACCAGGATTAGAGCATTGGAACTGTCAGTCCCACCCAAGGACTCACCCTACCTTCCCCCACCTCCAGGGAGGGGAGAGGAGCTGGAGGTTGAATCAACTGCTAATGACCAATGATTTAATCAGCCATGCCTATGAAATGCAGCCTCCCTAAAAACTCAAAGGACGGGGTTCGGAGAGCTTCTGAGTTGGTGACCATGTAGAGTTGCTGGGGGAATGATGCACCTGGGGGAAGGCATGGGAGCTCCGGGCCCCTTCCCACATACCTTGCCCCATATATCTCCTCCATCTGGCTGTTCCTGAACTATATTCTTTCATAATAAATCCATAATCTGGTAAGCAAACTTTTCCTGAGTTCTGTGAGCTGCTCTAACAAATTAATTGAGCCTGAGAAGAGGATTATGGAAACCTCAGATCAATAGCAGGCAGGTCAGAAGCCCAGGTAACCACCTGGACTTTTGACTGGCGTCTGAAGTGGGGAGAGGAGCAGTCTCGTGGGACTGAGCCCTTAACTCGTGGGATCTAATGCTATGTCTAGGTAGATGCTGTCAGAATTGAGGTAGATTGTAGGACACCCAGCTGGTATTTGGAAATCTTGAGAACTGCTTGGTTTGGGAAACTTCCCCCACACACGTTTAGTGACCAGTAGTGCTGTGAATATAGTGTAAGTGTAGACGAGACACACAGAGGAGGGTTTGTCCTTAGAATACAGAAATTTGAGAACCAGTCCAGGAGAGCCAAAGTTGACTAAACAGGAGTTCTAGAAAAAGAGAACGGACCAAAAAAGAATGGAAGAAAACCACTAAAGAGATAATTCAAGAAAATGTTCAAGAACTGAAAAACAAGCATTTCCGGACCCAGAGTGCCCACTGAATGCCCGTGAAAATGGATAAAAATAGACCTACATGAAGGCACAGCCGCCGCCTGAAACTTGGGAATTAGGATGGCAGCAGATTTTACCAAAAGCAAAACATAAAAAGCTGGAAGCCAATGAGGGGGTTTTCAACCCAAAATGCTATACTCGTTCAAGCTGGAAACTACCTGTCACAGAGCCGTGAGGGGAATCCCTGGGTACCAGTGAAGGGCTGTGCCAGGACGGTAGGTGTGCAATGCGCCCAGACCACACTGGAGCAGAGGATGGAGGGGCCCAGGCAGTCGGGATGATGGGAAAGACAGCCTGGTGTGTCAGCAGATAGTAGAAAGAGATTTACACGTCCAGTGAGACGTCTGCTGAGCCCCATTCTCCTTTTGGGTATCAAACAGTGACAGGTACAAAGAAAATTAAGCAATGAAAAAGAAGGTATTGAGTAACTCCAGAGGAAAATGAAAAATAGTGCAAGGAGGGAAATTTAATCACAGCACAGCACACTACATGGCTCAATGAGGAATAATATTTACAGTCTTAATAAAGTAGGACTGAATATGAGTGAATAAGTATTGTGACACTTACACTGGCATGGGCTGAGAAGCACGTGCGTCTCTACTTTGGAGAGCCATGGCGGATGGTGTAAGAAAGCTAAACCCTGATCTTCTAGAGAAGGAGGCTGAATTTTCTAAGACTTAAAAAATAAGACAAAAAAGCAATGTAAGTGCATTATTGAGAAATACAGTGGCAAGTCTAGAAGAAAGAGCTAGAGAGTTGAGAGAGATTATTTCTGGAAGGTGCGAGATGGGGATGGAGAGGGAGGAAGCTGGGGACTCTCATTTTTGGTTATAAGCCCTGTTGAAATATTTTATCTTTTTTAAGCTTTGACTAATATTTTAGCTTAAAGGAAATGGAATAATATGTGAAAATTTCCCTAAACTGGAAGACAGGAGTCTCCAAATTGAAAAGCCCAAGTTCTAGGGTTTCCAGATTTAGCAAAAACAAACAAAAACAAAATAGGACACCCAGTTAAATTTGAATTTCATAAACAATGAATAATCTTTTAGTAAAAGTATGTCCTAAATATTGCAAAAATTACTTGCAGTTTATCTGAAATTCAAATTTAACGGGGGGGTCCTCTGTTTCATCTAGCAACTCCATACCCAACACATGCATCCTAAGATACATAGCTGTGATGTTGCAAAGCACCGGGGATAGAGAGAAGATGTCAACAACTTCCAGAAGGAAAAAAATGTCACCTACAAAGAAATCAGAAAAGCATCGACTTCTCGCAGAACAATTGGAAGCTTGGACAGAGTGGAGCAAAGCCTTCAGAAGTCTGAAGAAAAATGATGTCCATCCCGGCATCTTAACATCCACCCAATCATTAACGGAGTTCGAGAACTGAACTCCATTAAACATGCCTAAAGGCATTTTTAGGCACGCAAAGCTTCAAAAATGTACCTCCCCTTTACCCTTTCTCAGAAAACTACTGGAGGATTTGCCCCACCAGAAGAAGAAACAAACCAACAAAGAAGAGAACGTGTGGTGCAGGAAAACAGAGACCCAATGTGGGAGAGAAGGGAAATGAATGCCCAGGACACAAGCTGCAAGGAGGCAGAGAGACAGCAGATAAGACTGGAGTGGGAGAGTGGAAGGCTCCAGAAGGGAAGGCACCAGAGGGGAAAAAAAGGAACTAATAGAGAGCCTGATGTATTTGACCACATGGAAAATGGTGTTTGGATGGGTTTTCCAACTCTGTGGGAGAGTTTGGAAAGAATTTCAAACAAGGTACACAGAAAATTAAGCAGGTGAAGAAAATGAGGCAATTTTTAACAAAATGTTTAAAGGAGATTAAATGAACTTTACCATAATATACTGCTTGGCAATGCAGAAAATAACATTTGATAGTGATGACATAACCACCGAACGCTGATTTAACTGAAAAATTATGTTGAAGCAGAGAAAGTGCTTCAGACAAAGACGAGCGGTAATGTCCCATCACCCAGGGCAAAGTCAAAGTCCCCACAGCAGCCCACAAGGCCCCGCACAATCATGTTGCCCCACCTCAGTGCTCTGATTTTATCCCTTACGGCTCCCCCTCATCCACCTTGCCCCAGCAATAAGGGCCTCTTTGCTGTTCTGCTCCTCAGTTACACCACAAGTTCTCCCACCTCAGGGCCTTTGCACTTGCTGTTTCCTTGCTTAGAATGCCCTTCTCCACCCACCCACAGGGCTCTCTCTGCCATCCCTCAGGTCTTTGCTCAGATGCCACCTTCTCAGTAAGGTCATTCCCTTCCTCCACTCCTGTATTTAATATTGCATTTCTTCCCCCACATTCCCTCCATCATCCCCATGGATGCTCATTTTTCTCCACGTTGTTCTTAGCCATCTCTCCATGGAGCACCACCTCTATATAACGAGATGGTGACGGTGACATTTTATTTAAATGTTCGCTTATTCCCCCACTGCAGGGAAAGCTCTGTGAGGGCAGGGAATATTGTCCCCTACCTGTATCCATCATTCGTCCACTAATGTACCCGTGCTGAGTGACCAGCACGAAGCAGGAGCTTTATAAATATTTGTTAAATGAAAAGAGAAATCAAGAAATAGCAATGTAAGCCTTTCCTGAGGAAAACAAAGGTAGACACCAGAAACAAACTGCTCAGATAAGTGAGGGTGGTGGGCTCCATGGACCTGGTAACGAGCCGGGCTGGGGCTGCTGGTCTTCCATAAAAGCCTTGGACTATTATTCAGCTTTTCAAACCGTGCGTATGTATTACTTTAATAAAAATTCAAATGATTTTTAAAATATGCTCACTGTTTCCACCCCCCCACCCAAATCACATGTCATCCCCATATCAAAAGGAAGTGATGGCTGGACTTCCTGTTCTTTCGTGTTATTAATCTGAGAAGCCTTCCTCTCCCTCTCATCCACCGCCTTTTCTCTAACCCACCACCTCCAACCCATCCCCGAGGCCTGAGGCTCTCGCCTCCCCACAGCTCTCCAGCCCATTCACCTCTTTCTATCCCCGTCACTATCACCCTAGTGCCATCTTTCACCTGGACGTTGGCAAAAGTTTTGTAATGTCCACCTGCATCCATTCAGTCCATCCAATCCATTACACTGTGGTCAGCCTGATATTTTCAAACACAAATTTGATCCTATCGCACCACTGCCACTTGCTTAAAACAGGCCCATGGCATCCCATTGCTCCTGGGCTAAAGATAAAGCTCTTAAGCCTCCAACCTCACTCCATGCTTGCCCTTTCCCTTGCCACCCCAGTCTCTTGTTCTCACCATGTTAACCCCACCACAGGGCCTTTGGACATGCTGTTCCCTCTGCTTGGAATACTGTTTCCAGAGCCTTTGTCTATTTACCTCCTGCTGATCATTCAAATACCAGCTAAAAAGTCATTCAGTCAAGTCCCCTATTTTCGGCTCTCACAACACAGGTATGTGCATATCTGTACCTTGTCACACTGGTCACAGTTGCAGTTTTACATCTGGCCTTATTGGATTAACATGTGTCTCCACCCCCACCATCAACACACACCACACACACACACACACACGCACAGGCACACGCACACACACTCAAGCTCCATTAAAGGAGGACATCATTTGTTTCACTTATCATTATACATAGTAGGAGCTCAGTAAATGTCTATTGAATAATTTGTTGAAACACTACATTTACTACCACAATAAGACCTCTGTACTGCCTGGGTGTGAATAACATTTATTCATCTGTCTCGTCACTACTCTAAAATTCTCGGGCTCGGAGACTGCATGCTTTTTTGAAAGCCCTTCCACTCACTCCTCTCTACGCTTCCAGTTCCCATCTTCACATATAATTTCTGAAAGTACGTATTGACGCAAAGTGTGCAGGAGATCATGTGTTGAAGGGGGTTTCTATCCTGGAGAGCTAGCATTACAAAATCCTTCCTTACACTTTGCTTTTTAGACACAGTCATCCCCGATGTATTGCTAGCACTTCACATATGATCTTTAAATATGTTATCTTCTTTCACGATTCAACACAGATTTAATTGGCTGAATTCCAGTGAACGTCTGATTGAAGCTAAAGATTAGCATTTTAGGCAAACCTAATGATTTTTATCTTGTCCCAACTCTATTCAGTTTAATACTTAAGCTTTGTGCTGTAGAGTTCTCTGTTTTCCCCTCATTTTTATAAAATAAGGGCAAAAAAGGCAACAAAAGTGGCCAAATTATTGCACATACATACTGAAAAGATGGGACACTGGCCAGCTCACAGAGCCACCATGAGATGGACCATTTGTCAGTTAATGCACAAAATTCCAAGTCCAGCATAAGATAGGGCACGAGGGGCTTCTAAATTGGAACATCTAATACTGAGCACCACTTGTTTACACTTCTTGTGCAATTAGGGAGCACCTAATAATCCAATATTAAATCAACCCTTTGCTTGGTAAAACAAGTTTAAATTCATCCATTTTCTTCTTTCTACTTATTCAGAATTTTATAACACACCAAATATTCATTAAAGTTCCTTCTAAAAAATAAGGCTATTGGGTTGCCTTCCTTTGCATTAACTCCCCTTCAGACACAAGCTGCAGGAGCCATGGGGAGCCCAAAATTTTTATGTCTGTAATATAACACAAGTGAACAACTAAATTGGAGAATCCCCTGCGTATATTTTTAAAACATCCCTTCCTTTGTCCCCCAAACCGGTCTCTGTCAATAACTATTGGGGGTCACTGCCCAGAGCTGGGCCGTGCCACATCAGCAGGGAAAGGCTGGCACCAGAATCTGGGCGATCCTGCCTCTTGCTGCACCCACTGTTAACCACTGACCACTCAATCTCGTCTACACTCGCTGCTCTTGTCACCGTTGTCGGAGTTAGGCTCAACAATTGTTTCCCAACCATTCTTACCATTTCCATGAGTGATGTTGAATTTGGCATTCCCGGAAACCTTCAACTTGGTAGAATTTTCGGCTCCTCTGGGGTATGTCACCAAGCCCTGTGCATTCCCCGAGAGGTGGAGTAGCGGCCTCCACAAGTGTAGGGCTGCAGCTGGGCCTGCAGACGCCACGGGAAAAGCGCCAGGGCTCTCTCAAGGCTCAGTGTTCCGCATGGTCTCTTTTGTCCAGTTTTGTTGAGCCATAACTGACATACAGCACTGTGCAAGTTTAAGGCGTAGAGCATGGTGATTTGACTTACACGTATTGTAAGTGATTACCACAATGAGTTCAGTTATCATCTCATACAGACACAAAAAGAGAAAAAAGATTCATTTTTCCTTGTGATGAGATCTCTTAGGATTTACCCTCCTAACAACTTCCAAATACCCCGTCCAGCAGTGTTCGCCGGAGTCATCACGCTGTGCGTCGCATCCCCAGCACTGATGTATCTTATAACCGCAAGTGTGGACATTTGATCGCCTGCGTCCAACCCCTGCGCCTGCCCCCCACGGGTGCTGACCACAAATCTGATCTCTTTTTCCATGAGTTCAGTATTTTTTTGTTCTTGTTTTTTTTAAATTCCTCGTATGAATAAGATCATACAGTATTTGTCTTCCTCTGTCTGATTTATTTCACTTAATGCCCTCAAGTCCATCCATGTTGTCACAAATGGCAGAATTTCCTTCTTTTTATGGCTGAAAATATTCCACCATGATCTTTAAGAGCAAGTAAATTACAATCATTGATAAAATTCAAATTAAACAAGATAGTATTTAATTCCCATCACATTAACAGTGGCCCCTCCCAACCCAATCCAGAGCTGGTAGGGTGCCATAAACACTCACTCAGAGCAGGCGGCTTCTTCTATCTGTTTGCCTCTCACTTTCTATAACCATTCATTATCACTTTTCAAGACGGAAATAATTTTTTCTGATCCTAAAACACACACATTCATTGTAAACAATTCAGGCACTGCAGAAAACTATCAAAAAGAAACTGAAAATCACACATTTCCCTTCAACCCAGAAAAAAACGCATCGCCTTTGGGGTCACCGGGAGCTGCTCTCAGCCCGTCACTCACTTGGTTACTTCTCACCTGACAAAAGGAAATAATAATTGAAGTGGGCTCACAGAGTGAGGACTGAAGGCAAGGTTTGTATACGGCACAGTGTTCAGTGACTGGAAGCTGTGGCCGTTACTATTACTGATACACTTCCAGTCTTTTCTTACGCATATTTACATATATGTCAGTGTGTACTTTTTATGTTCCTACAAGTGGCTTTTGTGTGTTGAAAAGATTATTTAGAAGACATATTGCTTTGATAAATAAATACTCAATTTGTTAAGGTTATAAATCTTCACATTGAGTTTTTCCTGAAGCTTTTGAGTTCAACTGACAAATTTTATTACTCTATTCACAAGCCGAGCTTGCCTGTTTTGTTTTCCAGAAGCCTGAACTCCTTGAGGGTCTTTGAAAGGAACAAGAAAAGAACAACTTTAAGGATCTGTGTTATGGACTCAATGTTCACGTCTCCTCAAAATTCACATTTGGAGATGGGCCTTTACAGAAGTAATTAAGCTTAAATGAGGCCATAGCGGTGGGCCTGGTCCTATGGGATTGGTGTCCTTATATAAGAGGAAGAGACACTAGAGCTCGCTGGCTTGCCCTCTGAGCAGATGGAGGAAGGGTCATGTGAGGGCACAGAGAGAAGTTCAGAGGTCAGCAGCAGGGGAAGAACAGGGACCCACTCACCACCAGATGGGAGCATCCCTGGAGACGGCCAGATTTCGGAGGGAATGGCTGTTGATGCTCAAAGGTGGCCAGACCTGAGGCACAGGGCTCCCAGCCCAGCAGCAAAGCTGCAGGGCCACTACTGGGTTCATGAACTGAGGTTTAGACCGAGTCTGAGACTGGAAGGTTGAGCAAATAAAAATACAGGATCCACAGTTAAATTTGAATGTCAGATGGTTTTGCAATATTTGGGGCATTCTTATACAAAAAATTATTCACTGCTTACCTGGAATTCAAATTAGCCGAGCCTCCTGTATTGTGTCTGGCAACCTTGCCCAGCACAGGCACGACCTTCTGGAGGACATTTCAGTAACACACGTCGAAACATTTAAGGCGTACCTAATTGTTAGCACATCAATTCCACTTCTAGGAATCTAGTCACAAGAAACCATTAGACAATAGAGAAATATGTACAGGTAAGGATATTGATCAGTGTATTGCTTATAATCATGAGCAATTGAATTACTGGAACTGTGGTTAAACAATTATGGTAATTTTGTTCAAATGTATGCAGCCTTAAAATGATAATTTTTTAAACTCATATTTACTAATATGAAAAGACGTTCAGAATATATCATCAAATTTAAAAAGGTAATAATGTAACTTTAAGTTCGATTTTATTTTTAACTAAATATTTTACATGTAGCCCCCACACACATATCAAAAATATCCAGATAATTATAGCAAGACGTTGACAAGAGTTATCTCTGGATGGTGGGACTGTTGGTGAGTTTTATTTTGCCCTATAACCCTTTACGCATATATTATCTTAATTATCAGAATAAAACAAGAAAGCTATTATGATTTTGAAAAAAAAGTACTAGCAACTTTAAAAACTTTATGCAAAAGCATGATTCTTTGACAATTCTGTAATCTTAAAATCTGAAGCAATGAGTCCACGCTTGGATTCAGGAAGTCTTTATCTGAAGTCATGGACGTGTTCCTCGTCCTATTTTGGTGCTGATTTCTCTAAGCTGCGACATCTTTCTCTTGCTAAAAGACCCTGAATGCAGTCGATATTTGCTGTTTTTGTTTACTTGCTTGTTGAGCGGGAGGGGTTTTTTTTGACTACCCAACATCCATTTTATCCCTTCTTTTCATTACAGAGCACAAATTTTCCTCTGGAGAAACATCTCCACACCCCATGCTCAGTCCACATGCTTTGGGTAAAACTGACTCCAACCTTGGCTCCAAGGGTGTACACATGACCCAGATATGTCCAATCAGAACACATGATTCCCCTGACCTAATAATTTGCCCAGATAAGAGGATGAAGTGGAATTCTGACCAATGAAAATTAGATCATGTATTTTTTCAGTTGAGTAGAAGCATTCTTTTTTTAATTGGATTAGAAACTGGGAGGATATATGCCTGGAGTTACTAGCCATCTTACTGCTATCTGAAGCCAACATGGACAGCAGAAGTGCATTAAAAGAGATGAAAAACTTTTTTACCTCCTGGATCATACTGTACCTGAAGCCCAAATTTATTTTTTTTAATTTTATTATTTTCAAGTACATAGTATGGACCTTAGACTTATCATCAATTTTCCAGCAAAGGCTCCAGTTAATTTAATTGACATGAGAATGAAATTAATTGAGTCTACTAGCATTAGCTGAAAACACTACTTATAGGTATGGGTAGAATTTCAGGGGTGGAAATACCCTAAGGAGCAGGCTTGCCAGGTATCCTGTATATACAGGACGCGTCCTATATTTAATGGTTTTGTCCTTCTTCTTGTATTAGTTTCTTGGGTCACCCTAAATGTCCTGCATTCAGCTTTTTTCCAATAAATTACAAAATACAGCAGTTGGGGCTTTTTATCAAATTCATCTGGGCATCCTGTACTGTCATTTGCTAAGTTTGGTAACCCTACCAAAGAGTCATTCAACCCCTACAACCTACCATGCCTCTCCCTGCTCTATAGCATCTCTGCCAACTGAAGCCCAATGTTAGATGAAGTTATAGGACTTAATAAATTTCCCTTTTTTGATTAAGTTGGTTTGAGCCAGAATTTTAGTCTCTTGTAACCAAAAGAAGGCTAACTGGACCTAATTAGTTACAGAACCACCAACACTAACCTCTATAGCTAATTACAATAATAACTGTGTTTTTTAAATCATTTACTGTGTTTAACATACTTTAGAAACCTTGTCTCATGAATCAGCCTACTCGTCCTTTGAGATACGCATCATTTGAGTTCCACGAGGTTAAAGAATTCACCCTGAGTCACACGGCTGGCTGGATGGAAGCAGGACCCCAGACACCAGCTCCACGTTCTTCCACTGCATCATACTCTCTTCTAGTCCAGACTTAGAGATCTGAACTCTGCTCCCCCCACAGAGAGAAGGCTTTTATCGGGCTTGGGGTCACTAGCGCTGGAGCTAAAATAACCACCAGGAAGCTTAACTTCCCACAAAGAGCTCGGATTTGGGGCCAAGCGCATGAAAAGTATGCAAACAGAGCCTCAGTTAAAGCGGGAGAAGGAGTCCCCTCGGTACAGCCGTTTTCTCTGGGTTCCAAGCAAGGGCCAAAATCTGAAAGCCAGTTTGTGGCTCACTTGAGTAGCGTCAAATGCCAGCCAGCACCGCGCAATCTCCAAAGCAGTGTTCAAAGCTGACTCCATCGTTGAAATTAACCGGATAACTGCAAGTTTCCCACTTCATGTGGACACTGCCTAAAGCTGTGTAAGTTGGCCATGAACTGCATACACATGCAGACCTGAGACAAAGGAACCACCAGATTTCCAATAAATCATTTCGGTTTCTCACAAAAATATAAAAATATGTAAGGGGCCAGTCCCGGGGGCCTAGTGGTTAAGTTTGCTGAGCTCCACTTCAGCAGCTCAGGTTTGGTTCCCAGGCGCAGACCTACGCCACTCATCTGTCACTGGCCATGCTGTGGCAGCAACTCACATTTGAAAAAAAGGAAGATTGGCAGTGGATATTAGCTTAAAGCGAATCTTCCTCAGCAAAAAAAAAAAAAAAATATATATATATATATATATATAAAATGGTTCCTGCACATTTACCTGTGACATGACAGTTTATGTGCAATTCATCTCATGTTTATTATTTCTCACAGTAACCCCATATCCCTCTCAAGAAACTGAGGTAGAGCAGAGAGGTGACAGGCTCCTTTCAAAGTCAGGCAGCATGTCAACAGCAAACCGATAAAACAGTTTCTCACTTTCCAGAGGCGAGTGAGTGCCCTGGGCCATCACATCACGTTTTCTTTAGGCTGCACCTGAGAAGCAGCCGGTGTCAAGGAAAGCGCTGGGGCTGTCCCGGGTCTCTGCCCACAGGGCTCACGGGCAGCCTCCCAGTGGATGGCACGAGGCTACTGCTTCCCGGGGCACCGAGGCAGCAGCAGGGGCTCCTGTGGAAGCCTGGAGGAATGGAGGCTGGCTGGCCAAGTGTTCCGTTTCTTTCTGAATCAATCTACTTCTCCAACATCTCCACTTGACCATTTCCTGGCAGCCCTGAATATTTTAAGGAGGAAGTTCCAGAAATAAAAGAGAAGTTGTCCCCCTCCAAGCAGGCTGAGGGACGGCTTCTCAGGCCCTGGGGAGGGTCAAGGGGAGACCAGCGTAGCTGCAGGAGATGGAATTTGTGACACTAGGCTCCTGAGGTCGGTAGGATGATGACAACCACCCACGCCCCACCTCCACGGCGCGGCATGCCCTTGGAGTGCGCCTGTGCACTTCCCACCCCCGAGAAACTCTGGCAGAACAGTTTCCGCAGCCCCGGCGCCCGCGCCGCAGCACCCGGATGCAAAGGTCCTTTTCAAATGCACCTCTGAGCCGCAGGGCCCCCACTCAATGCGTCTATCCAGGAGCGCCTCGCAGATGTTCAGGAAGCGACTGCAACCTCTTCTACCCGCTTCCTGCAAGAGCCATCCGGCGGTGGCACCCCAAGGGCAGCGCCTTGAGAAAGGTCCCCCGCGCACGCAATAAAGGGGTGCATTCTCCGCAGAGGATTTAAAAACAGTAACGAAACTGACCAAAAGTTATTTTCACACGTGCCAGCAGTTATAAACAGTGTCAGTGATAAAATACTCCTTCCAACTAGGGTGGACCACCTGCCCCCACGACTGGCTGCGCCAGCCGCTGCTCCCACCGGGACCCCACCCTCTCGTCTCTTTCTCACTCCTTCCTCACTTCAGCCACAGGGATCACTCCAAAATGGCACCTGAGCGTGTCATGCCTCTGATTTAAAATGCTTGCTTGCTCCGAGGGCCTTCGGAACGAATCCAGCTTCTAGCAGCTTCGTGGCTCTTCACAGTCTTGAGTCCAACCTCTTTTTCCAGCCTCCCCTGCACCCTTTCTCCCATGCCATGTGTCCTAGGCTCCCAGTTCTTGAACACTTTATCCCATCTTTGGGCCCCCTTGCCTTTGTTCAAGCCATTGTTTCTATTAAGAATTTTCTTTTCAATCTTGAAGACTCCGAGTCATCTTGCAAGACTCAGCTGATGTGTCAATTCCTCTGGGAAACCTTGCCTGACTCCCTCCAGCCCTGGAAGAATTCACCACTCTTCTTCCCTTACCTGGAGCGCCTGCTACATGCCCCACTCAGTCACTTACTGCAGTCGCCCCCACCACCACTGCCATTGAGTAGTTCCCCATGTGGCCTCCAAGACTCATTCCTAATTCCAGCCTCCGTGAAAGCAGCCAGGAAAGTGGACCTTTGCTCTCTCTCTGCCTCCTGCAAGTCACCCCAAAGGGAGCTGGTCACAGATTTTGGTTCCAAGGTCCAGGAATAAAAGACACCCCCTCCGCTCGCCTGCGGTCGCAGCTGTGTGTCAGCTCAGCCTTTACTCCTGAGCCCTAAGCTGCAAGTACCTGGGTGCTGCTTGAATGCTGATAAACTTGTCCCTTGATTCCTGCATCCGTCTGTGCCTGTCACCCCCTCAGTCAGAACCTGGTAGCAAGGAGGAGGAACAGCATGGCAAGGTCTGGGCCCTCCTGTGAGCCCCGAAAGCCTGCTCCCCCCTGCCCTCTGCCACCTGCCCCTCTGCACCACCGTCAGTTGTTCACTTGGGGCTGCCGTCCGCTGTGATGGCCTTCCTCAAGAGGTCAAGGTTTGCTCACTCTCTCCAGCGCCCGGCACAGGCAGGCTTAATATAAATGTTGAAAATAAAAGAGGGTACAAGACACCATGTAAGGTGCTTCCTCCACACCCTACTGACTCCCAGCCCAGCTGCCATCCCCTGCCCCCGCTTCTTTGCTCCCAGAATCCCCATTTTGTCCAGGTTTCTAGAAGCCAAATGCTCCACAGAGGCTGGGTCCCTCCCCAGCCCTGCAGAGGCCTCCAGCTGAGTCTAAACCGACGGTGGTAATCCTACCCACCTCGGCCGAAGCCGGTCAGGATGGGCC